TTAAAAATATTATATTAAAAACTATAAAAAAAAATGGATGCCACTCTTTTTCTTAATTAGATGATAATATAAATATTAAATTTAAAAAATATAAAAAATATTTAATATGCTCTCCATCTACAATAACTTATAGTTAATTATTAATCAATCTGGGGTAACTTATGAAAGTTAATATGAAGGAAGAAAAAACAGCCGAATACCCTACTTTTTGTTTTTTTGTTTTTTGTTTTTTAAGCATTTCTTCTTGTCTTTCTTTTATTGGAAAATAAAATGATTTTTAAAAAATATAACTGCCTTTCCCTTTTCACCGTAATCTTTCTCACCTAGCCCTAATTGGTTCCCCTTTTAAAATCTACCAAAAACCATCCACAAAATTGCTTCTCCCTAACCCACCGCCCACTCCAATGCACTCTTCGCTGGTTTCTCTCTTCTTTTTTCCATTATTCGTGCAATCCCCACCCAGCCAGCCATCCCCATCGTTCACCTCTTAAAATTAAATCCCCCAAATCCCATTTTAAGATCCTATCCTCTATAATCCCTTGAACCCAAATCTAGAAAATACCCTAAACCCATAGATCAATCACCATCGAATCATATGAATTCAAAATTATAGAGTAAAAACAAAAGGGATGAACAGAAGGAGCCTTATTCGGGGGCAGAAGTTGTTGTTGGAGACAGCAATGTTGGTGATACAAAAAAAGAATTATAAGGAGAGGTCGACTACGGGGACAATTTGTCGTTTAGGTGACCTAAAATCATTTTCTCTATAAATGCATGACTTATTTTATTGTTAAATTGTTGGCTGAACTCTTAAAAAATTGACAAGAATCTGTCTAGCATACCTCTTCTTGCCTAAGCCTCCCACGGACTCTGTTAGCCTCTTCTTAGTTGATGTAGTTAGAATTAGGGTTTAGCTCTTTGCTTATATATTGGTTCAAAGGATAATTTGGAAGATAATCGTATAGCGTTTAGATAGAATTGAAATGGGCAAGTTAGCATTTTTATTGGTCTAGGAGAGAAAAAAACGCTATTTAACTTATTTTTTCAAAGTGTTTGTGATAAATTTCAATTATTTAAATTGAAAAATAAAAAAATTGATTTTTTTTTTGTTTCAAAATCAGATCTTAAATTAAAACTTAATAATTTAAAATAAAAACATAAATACCCATTAAACATCAATAGTTGTTTATAAAATTTAGTACCACCAAACAACAGTTTGGTTAAGTAAAATTAATTTAAGAATTTTGATTTGAAGTTATAGATAAAAGTGTAAACTTAAAAATATTTAAAGTTTAACACTCAAATGATTTTTATGGAAAATAAAATTAATTATTTTGGCTTTATTTTACCTGGAAAGAGTTACTGTCCAACAGTTGTGGCCATATACTACGGCCACCATCCATCTGTTACGTTTTTTCATTTTGCTCCTGTGAGGCAAATTTAAGTTTTTTCGTTAGCAAATTTACAAATGGTGGATTTTGTTTATTTGTGGCAAATTTTTTGTTAGTTACAAATATTCACCTAATTTATAGTGACTAATATTGTTGTTAGTAATTTATTTTTTTTTTTTTAAGTTCAGTTGTGGATTAATTGTGACAAAAAATTTTGTTACATCTTGTAATTTTCTTTAGTAACAACACGCATATAGTCACAAAATATATTTGTTACAAATCATAATTTTAGTCACAAGAAAAAAATAATATATGTGACATGAATTTATCATTTGTAACTAATATTTTATAAGGAACTAATAATTATTTTATTATGACAAATTTGGCAATCACAAATTTAAATAGTTTATTGTAACAAATTTATAGTGATTGAATATAATTTTTGTGTCGAAATTATATATTATAATTTTAAAAATTAATATTAGTGATTATTAATAAAAATTAGTCACAAATATAAAGAATATTTGTGACCAACTAAAAATTAGTCACTATTTTCAGTCACAAAACACCCATTTTCTTGTAGTGA